TTCAGCTCTGAATAAGAAGGAACGACGGCTCTTCTTGCAATAATTGCCTTACACGCTCTACGTTTACATCGGTATGTGCTATAGACGGGCAACCAGCTCTGGGATCGTCTTGCACTGAATCTCTGCCTTCACGAAACCTTCTGTACCACTCGAAAGCACGTCTTCTTAAAAAGTGCCTCACCTGCACATGCTTGCTTAATCATGTTCCATGTTTCTCTAGGGGTTTTCCCAAGCTTAACGCAGAACTTAACATTCATTCCTTGCTTACAATCAGCATCCATTGTGTCACCTTAACGAATGCGACGACCATCCGAAGAACGTGTTGCTAAGCATAGCCCTGCCCTCTAGTACGTTTGCGCGGAAACATGGCGAAGGTCATGCCAAGTAAGAATACATACCAATTAACTTAAAACAATATTTGTTCCTTTTTAGTACTGTAGAAATTAAAAACAAAAAATTGTCATGGAACATTTCTGACAATGGATACATAACGAAGAGTGTCTGTTGCTTTCTTTGTATGTTTTTCATTAAAATTTACCCTTTTATTACGATCTTGATGAAATTTGGACATTTGGCTTTCTAAACAAGAGAAGGTTCACTGTCTACATAAGATTCAGAATACCACCCCATGGGGCTCACAATTGGGGCGTTTATATTACAATATTTCATACACGACGCCCATCCTTGCATACATATCACTTATCTCAGGTTTAAATTCCGGCTGCCATTAGAAGTCATACATGCTAAGCAAGGAATACCTGACCGTTTTTTTTTTTTTTTTTTTTTTTTTTTTTTTGCAAAGAAAAAAATAATACTTGCATACAGTTTTAACTTTGAAACCACATCATCTGTCTCAAATTTATGTCACCATTCTTGCCTTCCCTGTATCAGCTGTTACCAAAATCATTAGATTGCACTGCTTTATCTTGAAACTTTTTTAACGTTAAATATTTACTTGGATTGTCTGAGTATGTTGCAAGAAACTGGAACAGTTAAGCCTAAAATGTGAGGTATGACTTATTAGATATTAAAGCAGAATTAAGCGCGCGTTCTATCAGCTTTTCGCGAATATGTCGAAAATCATGAAAAAATTGGCCAAAAATGACGGATATTTTTCGAAAGCTGATTTCCGAAATTGGACATAAATGCTAAAAAAAGAGCTCATCTTTTCAAATAATCAATCAGCGTATGGCTATTTATTTATAGTTTCATAATAAGCTAATCCAAGGAAAAGCGTCCTGGCAACTTTGGCTCATTTTCGTCAACTGATTCATTAATGGACACTGAGAAAGCTATGCGTTGCCCGGTAAAACTTTTAAATGTTCTTTAGCCCTTAGGAATACCGTCACACAAGTTCAGTTTAAGGTGAAAAAACGTGCTGTATACGTATACAATAAACACGTTTTTTATTTATTTTCTACAGAGTTTAATTATGAAATATAAAAATTTTTATATATGCTATTATTATCCTGCAAAAAATATTAAATATACGTGAATTTAAAGCAATTTTTAAAACAATTTGAAACATTCTATATGAAAAAATATTAAAATTATACAAGAAAGTCATATAATAATAAATTAAATGCTTTTATGTAGAGAATGACATAATATTAAGGATATCTTTTAAAAAATATTTTATGAGATTTTCGTTAAATTCGCGATGACATAACAGGCCACATTTTCAAAAATAATAAACTTTAAAATATTGTGGGCTCTTGATAACTATATTTAGATTAAGCATACGATGTTTCATGAAAATAAAATAATTATAATTTGATTTATCTTGCACCAAATAAGCAAATTTTGAGAAAAATGCATTTAGAGTTTAAAATGTTATATTTTTATTAAATCTTCACTCAGATACAATTATTATTAAATCCAGATACAAATTACTAATACTCAGATACAATTTATTATTAAATCTTTACTCAGAAACATAAAACTCCCCATATCTATAGGTTACACCCTGTTATTCACCTTATTTATTTTGTTGTTTATACGCATCCTATTTGTTTTTTGTGGCAATTTTTACTTTGGGTACTAAGTGATATTTTGTTTCACTTATTCGTTCCATGTCGAGCTTACTAAACATTTCGACTGCATATTCACTGCAAGCCTCGAAACTCTTTGTTAAATAGTATAACAGCCATATATGCACCAAATTTAAGAATTCGTAATTCCACAAAGATATCCATGGGTATAAATTTCCAAAACATAATGTCATTAAAATTTTTGTTTGCATTTTGTCTTTCTTTATAAGCATTTTATAAGAGATTCTGCTCACATATTTTTACATTAGAGGTTTGAGAATACTAATGACATTCTTTGGTTGTCCCTTGGATTTGTTTTGTGTACAAGTTTCCAACTGATACAGCTTGTTGATATTTACAACAAATCTTTGGTCCAGCTGAGCATGACCATGCGTAGGTTGTTTTGCACTGGAGAAAATGTGAAAACAATGGAGCAATTACAGCATTTTGCATTCATTAGAAGTTATATATTGGAGTCCTGATTGTAACTCCGTTTTGAAGTTTTTCAATAAAGACATCCGTTAGTGAGCGACGTTGACCTTTCCAGCAAGATCTTTTTATTTTCCCTTCAGTTTTCTAACTCCGAAACAGCGCTTCTGAATATGACTTGGTGACACTATTTAAATATAAATATCGTTCATGTCACAAATAACTTTCAAAAACATTTCTTGCTTATGAGCAATATTTTAGTTTGTTTCATTCAATGAGAATAGTTTTATTAACATTATTTTCGACTTCCTTCGCAACTCCTTTCATAAATGTGTTCCTTACACATTTACGTTTACATACGCGACTTCGATTTTTTTATCACACTTCACTATAAACTCGAATCACTTTTAACTCGAATGTTATTAAAAATAATCAAAGAAGAGGATAAATCTAATTGCAATATTAATGTTTCGAATCAAATTCGAACTCATATGCTAGCGAAGACATACGCTTTCAACATGTAAATAATAACAAAATTGCATTTTATTTAAATTAATTTCGTGTTTCCGCGCAGATTACACATAAGATTCTTTTTAATTCTCTCTCTTTAAAAATCTCTTTAAATTGTAGTTCAAGGATAAAAAATTTGCATGTCCATTTCTGGCTCTTTTCTACTCTTTGAATGAGGACGTTCGGTGATTTAAATGCCCATTTCCTTTTTTTTTTTTTTTTTTTTCCTCTTTATGAAAACCTTAGTATCTCGGTTTCTAATTAGTGTAGAAACGAAAGCAGACCTGTTTTGAAAAGCTAAATAAACAATCTACGCAAAGAATGAATAAAAGAAAATTGCCAATTTTTTTTTTTTTTTTTTTTTTTGCAAAAATTGGCATTTGAAACGCTTTCGGAAACATTAAATAAAAGATCCTCTATCGTATTATCATGTAACATCGACCAAAGATATGCAGTGGAACAAGGCTCACCATGAAGAATCCATCAACGAAAGTAATGGAGCTCACTGTCACCACGGGGTATGCAGCAATTGAAGATGTATTCATTCCTCGAATTCTGTTGATACCCAAAGATTCAAATATGCCATTCGATTTCAAGAGACAGTAGTTTTGCGCCCGGTTTGCATTTGCTGTGAGGAGCAATCACTGTGTGTAGTAGATATTAACTTGGAAGCACCATGTACTCGTACACCATATTTTTCTTCTGGACAATTACACGTAGCATGTTCAAGAGTTGTGTCGCCGGATAGTCTGTTTATTTACGCTCAGGACGGACAATGAAAAACATTGCATTAGTGAAATTTTGCGCAATCTCCCTTTAACCGGAAACAAAAAATGTTTATGTCTGTAGTTCTTTTCTACTTTTTGAATGCGGACTTTCGGTGATTTAAATTCCATTTCCGGTTTTCGCGTCTTTATGAAAGTCTTGGTGAAATTTGGCGCAATCCGCTTTTAACCGAAAAAAACGGAAAATCATTGTTTATCTGAGATTTTGGAAAACTACCTCCATCCTTCTAAATGAAGACCCTTTACTTTGTGTAAAGCCCGGGCAGCGTCGGACAAGTGAGCTTCATAAAAAAGGAAATGGAGATGAGTTTAGGTGAATCTAGTCGAATAATGTCGTTTTCAAGACAGTAATATTCATCAGCTAATATCAGTTTTTTTTTCTGAAGCTGCTATTAAATGAATTTAAAAAAAAACAAAATTAATTGGTAAAATTTATTTTTAAAGCTTACTACCGTATTCTGAATTTTGAACTACGAGGAGTATTTCATAATGTGCTCAGATGTTGATTGTAATACAAATAAGCAAATTTAATACACTTAATTATTATTTATTTTAATTTTGTTTTTGATTAGGTAGCTTTAGCTTCTTTCGATTTGGTATAGTACTGCCGCCTATGCTTATAATATAATTAAATCAGAGGTAGGCTTCGGTTATTTATCAGTTCCTTACACATGAAAAAAATTAGAAATACAAAACTGGTCAAAGTATCAAACAGTCTAAAATTAAAGAAACGTTCACGTTTCTCAATGAATTTGATCATTTTCTTTTGATATATTATTATCATCTTTGTTTCGGGATTCGTTAAATAGCGAAGCGGGAACTATCTAAATTTTTAAGGGTGATAATGTGGCTGAACATTTCTGAATATATCCATTTCATGCAGTGAAGCTACACATTGTAATGCTATTAAATTGTTGCGTAAGATAAATGCATGTGAAGCATAACAATATGACTATAAACTAGATTTGAAATAAACGAAATCTCGTTTACAGTAGCTAGTTATTTAATCAGTATTTGAATAAGGAAGTCAATACAATGATCAAAATTTTCTTTTACGTGGTACGTAAATTACATCAAAACTTTCTTTTAAGTTAAATCCGTTGATTGGTTGAGTGTGCAGGACAAATCCGAAAGAAACTGGAACGATTAAACCTAAAATGTCTGAGAAACTCATTATATAATCACTCACAAACAAGCATTTAAAATTGTTATTGAATGTATGTTGAAGCTATTATTTATTTCTCAGATAGATGGCTTTAATGCGGATTTTGTAACGGACAATTTGGCTGATAATGGAGGTCTGAGATTAGCTTATCAGGTAAGAAATAAGGTTTGAACTTTATAAAAAAGCAAAATTGTGATAATTTACATTATTGGTATAAAATTAAAAGTACCAAAATGTAGTGTAGTGTAATACTGAAAAAAAAAAATATTTATCCATTATTCCATCACTGAAATAGTGAATAATGTTATGAATTTTGTACATATATGGATAATTTTGGTAAAATTTTCTATGAAATTGTTGTATTGTTCTGTATAATATAAAATGAAAATCTAGAGAGATTACATTCTGCCGGGAAAATAAGAATACAGAATGAAGTCTATTTAACATAGAGTAAATGGCTATCTAGCTAATATGGCGAGAAATTTCTAAAAGTCTTCTAACTTGGCGACCATTGGATACCATTTTTTTTCCGGTCCCTGTATCACCGTAATAGGTATTGTAACAGAATATTATTGATGTTCTGTGTACTTGTAATTACATACGGCCTTCATTTGGCCTGTAGTAATTTCGAGATCAGAAAACACTCGAAATATATGAAAACTACACTGCTGGCCACCGTAAATGCAGCACCCTGAAGTAAGCATGCAAATAACATGAAATTTACAACATGCATTAACGGAGGTGAGATATGCAAATGATTAGAATTTCAGCCCAGACGCACATCACGCGCGCCTGTTGCGCCACTTCAAAGAGCTATTTAAGGCTTGGAGTTTTCGACGATTTCAAATTCGGCAATTGTGTTTTTCTTGTGGTTTTTTTTCAAAAAAAAAAAAATCAATTATGCCTTGTAGTAAACAAGTATCGGAGTTCGACAGAGGAAGGATAGTGGCCTACCCAGAGTGTGGATTATCTTTCAGGGAACTCGGTAGTCGTGTTGAACGAAACCAAACAATTGTAATGCGGATATGTGACCGTTGGAGGCAGGAGGGTACGACGGACCTACGTGTTGGATCGCATCCACCTCAGTGCACATTTACAGCAGAGCGGTCAGTCCGCAAGACGTCCATTGCTTCGTCTACCCTTGACGCAGAACGACAGACGTCTCCGCCACCAATGGTGCGACGAAAGAAGGATGTGGACGGCAGAACGGAATGAAATTGTCTGCAACACCACGATGGTCGGATTCGAGTCTGGAGACACCGTGGAGAGAGGATGCTGAACACTGCGTTATGCACGGCCACACTGTTCCTGCACCGAATATTATGGTATGGGGCAGTATTGGATATCACTCTCGCAATCCTCTAGTACGCATTGCCGGTACTTTAAACAACCAGGGTTACATCGCCGAGGTGCTGAAGCCAGTTGTCCTTCCTTACCTTCAGGGCTTGCCCACAGACATATTTCAACAGGATAATGCGCGACTACACGTGGCACGCATTGTCCAAGGGTTCTTCGTCAATCGCCAGATTGAATTGCTTCCCTGGCCGGCTCACTCTCCCGAGCTTTCGCCGATAGGAAACATGTGGTCCATGGTTGCTGAACGATTGACCCAGATTACATCCCAAGCTGCCACACCAGACCAACTTTGGCAACTTTTGGAAGCTGATTGGTCTGCTGTACCCCCAAGAACATATCCAAAGTCTCTTTGAATCAATGCTGAGGCTTGTGGCAGCGGTGATCTCCAACAATGTCGGCTACTCTGGTTATTGATTCTGGAAGGAACCACACTTCACAGAAGTCTATAAATTTAATCATTTGATACTTGGTCAACATGTTGATATCTCATGTCTTTCTTGGTGTTGCAATTTTGGTGACCAGCAGTGTATATAAAACCGAACTCGGCTTTCTGCTGTTTTTGTTAGTCCTTAATTTAGCGTTCAGTCGGAATACTGAGATATCTCCAGATGAGCTTCGCCTTTTAGATGCACTTTGCTTGTGCTTTGTTTAACTTCCTTAGTAGTTTGAAGTGTAATTATTGATTGTACATTGTGATTCTGTGAAAACCTGTACGAGTATTTCTGCGGAAAGTTCCAGAACTCTGAAGTGTTCTTTTGATAAAATAAATTTTATCAGACAATTCGCATTCAATCTATTACGAACCGGTAGGCACGCGCGAAGATTTAGTAAAATCTTCATTTCAAAATAAAAGTGTTCTTTAGAGTAACACAATACCTAACGTCTAATTAAATGTATACCATATTACAATATTTTATCTAAAATTTACATTCATATATCAGATTCATCTGAAAACGTTTTCAGTACCCTTATATTAGACAAAAATTGTCTTTTAACGGAAATTTACACAGATTATCTTTATCTTATCCTTAAGTAAAATGTTCTTATTATTCAAACTGCTTCTCGTAATCTTCTGGCATAGACCAGAAGTCTAGCAAAACTAAATGTAATCAGGAAGGAATAAGCAAGTGTACAAAACAGTTCAGTACTAAGGAATCATCTAGCATCTGGTATTTGAAACTTGTAACAGACCTATTTAAGTGTAATTGAACTATTTTATTCATGTCATGAACTGTAACCGAACTATTTTATTTAAACGCCATCTCGTGGCGATATGAAAAAACGTCAGTCGACCTCCAGCCGCCATGATGATATCTTATTATGTTACGTTATTCTCAATGTTTGATGTTCCATTTCGTTTATGTTTCATTTTTATATATATTTCCTTTGTTTGTAACCGTTCCTGTGTGCTCTGTTAATAAATACTTTTAAAGCTAGCCGGCATTAGTGTCTATTGAGGAACGGCTACATCACATTGGCGCCCAACTAAATTTGAATCCAAAATGGCGCAACAAAATGTTTAGAATTTCTGTTTGGCTTTGGCTTTAACAAGCTCTTACTCCCGAATTTAACTTTTAGTTGCTGGAGATCGGCTCAGTTTCTTTTCAGGTGTGGACTACTGGTCAAATATTCTGGAAACCAATTCTGGAATTAAAATTGTCATACCGTGCTGCTAGCACATCGAATCATCAACTGGACAATTTCAACGGAAAAGATAAGTTTCGTTTACATTATCGTTTAATCTGAGTTTAAAGTTCTTTTAAACTGATTATTTATTATAAGCTGCTTCTTAAAGCAAATGTAAATTCTTTACTGAAATCTCATTTATTGATACTACATAAGAGTATTAAACGAAAGCAAACGGCTTTCTGTTAACCAAACGTTATTTCTTGAATTGTAATTTGTTATTTTAAAATGTTAATGCGCATAGTAAATTAATTTGTGAATATTGTTTCACTGAATACATGTTTTGATGTTAAAGTTTGATATTTCATGGATTGTTTAATTTATTAGTTGAATAAGACTGTGCTTTAGAGCTTTATGTGTTTTCAATTATTTTTTTTTCTTTACGTGTTATATTTTTCCATAAAGGTATACTTGGGATCAGCTTAAAAGAAGAGTCAGTAGTGACGTTAAGGAGCATTTTATTGATACTTGGGGAAAAATAAAGAGTTCATCTGAATTAGTACAGAAATTGGATGATTATGAAGCTGTACGTGTTAAAAATACGAACTATAAAACTGAACTTCCTGGCAGGCGGAACTATTCTTACAAACCGACTAATCCATCCAAACACAAAGTAGAAAATCGAACAAGTGACATACAGGGAACTCATAAAACCTTTTCAAATCGTGTTCAGCAACAAACAGAGGAAAAGCGACCTCCTTTAACATGCTATGGGTGCGGAAAAAAACTGGTTTTATCAAGTCTAAATGTCCAGACTGTAACCCCCCAAAGACTTCAAATTCATCAAATTTTGGCACTATCCAAATCCGATCCTGTTTATCTTCCACTCGGACTGCTGTATTTCCAATTAGTATTGGTGGTGTTTCCGGTACAGCTTTCGCCGACACTGGTGCTAGTCACTCAATTGCAAGTGAATCCCTCTATCATATTCTGCAAAAACAAGATGCAGTATTTGAAAAGACAACACTACAGGTGTCTTTCGCTGATGGTTTGGTATCTGAAAAAGAGGTACTTCGCACCGAACAAATCATTCTTCTCGAAGGCAGAGAGTTCAAAACTCCGCTCCTTGTGTTGCCTGATGCCAAAAATAACTCGACTCTGTTAGGAACTGACTTTCTTCAAAAAGCTAAAATTGTTTTAAATCTTGCTGAAAATAAGTGGAACTTTTCTGATGAACCTCGAAGAAAATATAGCTTCGTGAAACCTCATCAATCCCAAGTACTGGAAGAAACCCCAGTTGTTGTAAACAACTGCCGACTACGAGAAAATGAAGGACAGCAATTAACTACAGCCCAACGGCTTGCAACTGATGCATTGCTTAACAAATATCACACTGTCTTCAAAGTAGGGGGAGAAGCCACTAATCAAAAGCCATCTGGCTTACTTCAAACTTCCAGTCTATGCTCAACGTTTTGAGACCTTGTCAATTGATCTTTTCGGTCCCCTTCCTGAAACACCGTCTGGTGAAAAATGGATTTTTATTGTGCAGGACTGTGCTACGAAGTGGACAGAACTATTTGCTTTAAAGGAAGCCACGGCCAGAGAATGTGCCACTATTCTTTTGGAGGAAGTCGCCCTTCGATTTGGGTTACCCAGGAAAATAATAAGTGATAATGGTACCCAGTTTACTAGTGCTGTTATGCAACAACTATGCTATATCTTGAACATTGATCAAAGTCTTACTCCTGTCTATCACCCACAATCTAACCCAGTTGAAAGGAAGAATAGAGATCTGAAACCACGTTTAGCAATACTTGTTGGTAACGACCATCAGTCATGGAAGGATAAACTGCCATTAATAAGGTTTGCTTTGAATACAGCCAAATGTGATTCAACTGGACATTCTGCTTCTTTTCTTCAATTTGCACGAGAGTTACGAACCTTAGATGATGTAAAGCATGATATAAAAGCCGTAATTGAGAACGATAATTTTGTTCCCGAAATTACTCCATATTTGAAACGTTTTGCAAGAAATGTACAACAGGTACGAGAAAGAGTCGAAATTGCATCAAGATAAACAGAAACGATATGCTGACAGAAAAACGAAGAGAAACAACCGAAATTCGTTCCTGGAGATAAAGTTTGGGTCACCCTCCACCCAATCAGCAAAGGTCCACTGAAGAAAACTGCTAAATTCATGCCCAAGAGAGATGGTCCTTATGTGATAGTGACTACAAGATCTCCAACCACTTATGATATTGCCGATCCTCATGAACCAGACAAAATTCTCGGCAAGTATCATGTTTCAGCCTTGAAACCATATCAAGATCGAAATAAGTTTCAAAACTCAGCTCGTGTAACTTCCAGTGGTTCCCTTAAAGAAAAGAGGACGCCCGAAACGTGTAATACCACCCGAATCTGCACCTGTTGCACAAGGTGCTGGTGACGCAAAATCTACTGCTTGTCAAACTGGAGCCCATTCATCTGATTCTCCGCCCGCTGCACAAAGTAGACAAATGTCAGTTCCTGACTTCTTGCCGAGACGTCTACGAAGTCAGAGGGGGAGGATGTAACAGACCTATTTAAGTGTAATTGAACTATTTTATTCACGCCATGAACTCATGAACTGTAACCGAACTATTTTATTTAAACGCCATCTCGTGGCGATATGAAAAAAACGTCAGTCGACCTCCAGCCGCCATGATGATAGCTTACTATGTTATGTTATTCTCAATGTTTGATGTTCCATTTGGTATATGTTTCATTTTTATGTATATTTCTTTTGTTTGTAACCGTTCCTGTGTGCTCTGTTAATAAATCCTTTTAAAGCTAGCCGGCATTAGTGTCTATTGAGGAACGGCTACATCACAAAGAATTAAGAACCCTTCTTTTAAAAAAAAAACCCGAGCTTTTGTCCTGATTCATTGACATTAAAGTGAATAGTTAAAATAAATAAAAACTTCCTATCCATGGCACACCATAATGTCTTTTATAAAAATTTAATATTTATCACAAGATGATTTATTATTTAAGAGTCGTATAACTATATATTTGTTTTAAAGCAAGAATTAATTTAAATATTAGTTAGTTTTTATTAATTTTTAAAATGGAGATTTTTGCAGACGTTTTTGCTTATGTTTTCAACGTAAATGATTATTAAAATTTTGAGCTCCAAGAAAAACATACATATAAATTTACTGAGATAATATTCCATACTTTTATAGCAGTAAAAATCATTACAAAAAAATTTTGCCTGAAAGATAAAGTTTCCTTGCATTTTAAACTGTCCTAAAAATAGGACGACGGTAAAATCTACTACTACCAAATCCCCATCAGTTTGTAATGGAGGTAATGCGTTCTTTGTCTGCTACATTCCAAACATTGATATTCTACAAGTAACGCAGGCACTTTAGTCTAGCTGGCAGATGTGTCAAATATGGGCTAGGGGGTTGAGTAAATGTTTCAAACACTGACTCATGAAATCAGTTTGTATTCTGAATCGAAGTTGACTAAATTTCTCTCTTTTCTGCATGCTTAAATTTTAGAAAGAATAAAAATCCAAAGACACGAAAGAAGAAACCAGTGAAGAAAATCGTGAATGAGGCCATTATGTCATACAGTTGACCAAAATTTGCTGTCAATAATTGCAAACCCTGAAATACATAAGATTCACATTGATAATTTCTTTAATTTCTATAAATTATTATCCGTTGAAAGAAATTGAAAGAAAAAATGAGATACGCAAATTTTTGGAGCTCTCTTAAGATAAATAAGGTGAGAAATAGGTAATCGCCCAGCAGTAAAACTATTTCGCTAAATTTAATTATTATTGCTTAGATTATTGATTAGAGTAAAGATATTTTTATGACATCTTTCACGCACAGTATTTAAAACTTCGCAGAGTGTTGTCAAAAACCCCGTAAAGAGGCTGTGGCAAACTTCAGACTTTAAGCAGGTCACGATTGCGCGGCACATCATCTTAATAAAATTGGCATTCCTTCATCTAGTATATGCCAAAACTGCAATTCAAGCATCATGAATATAGAGCATCTTCTTATATGCCCAGAATTAGATAAAGAGTCTCAGAAACGTGGTAAGATAAGTAAACTATATTGTCTTGGGTAATGCAGAGCTTTCATGAACTCCTTGTAAAGACTACATCTCTTATGTTCCTTAACTTGTTGTTCAAATTTTTAAATTTTTACTTTTGTTCCCATGTTCATTTATTCTGATTTTTACTTTATAAATGTTTTTTTTTGTTATTATTATTTATCATTGTTCTATCTGTTTTATATGTTTGAATTGATCTTTCCAATAAAGCCATACGCAACAACAACACATTTTCCTGTACCCTTTACAGGCTTATCAGTCTTGGGTAATAAATCACGGAAGAGAGAAGAATCTGCCTGGCTTACCTTTTACACCGAACCAGTTATCTTGGATAAGCGCAGCAAAAGTAAGTTTTTGTAATAAATGCAGCAAAATTAAAATTATTAATTGCTGCAAAAA